TCTATAATTTTGACCCATACAATGTATTTTTGGCTATTGCTACAAATATACCCCAGTGACTTAAGACTGCTTTTGTGCTCCAGGGTCACAAATGAATAATGAAATCATCTAATCAATTCCATTTACTCCACTGCAAAACTTTGAATTATTTTAACACCGTGAAGCCTGAGATATGAAATAATTCAGAAAAATAATTTTTTTTTAAATATGGAAGAAGTTATTTAACCTTTAGACAAAATATTTTTAAAAAATCTTAAAATATGGTTTTTGTTGAGTATCATATTTGATCCATCAGGCTTTTATGGCTCATATAGTCTGATGTAGTGAGAATATAGAGGAAAAACAGTTAAATTTTATTCAGAGACTCATCACAGCTCACATGCAAATCACGGCTCTCAACGTGCGTCCACACCAGACTTTGATAGTAACAATGCAAACTGTGACTATATGGGCAACAGAATATGATGTCATGCTTATTTTTATTTTATTTTTTTTAAAAAGGCAGAAGTTCCAACTTCTGTTGTGCCAGCCGAACCCCAATGTCCAACTTAATATTTCAATAATTTAACAACAAATGTGCCTATTTGTGGTTCTCTGGTGTCTTTTAATGGTCATATATATATCTTTTAATGGTCATATATATATCTATGATCAGATTTGAGACTCTAAAACATGACTGATGGAGAATCACGTAAAGCTGAGCTGCTTCAGTCCAGTAAGTGTTCATCTGGAGATATTACTGCAGTTATTCTGACCTTTACTTGATCAAAATCAGTCAGGATTTGACAGCAGAAAGACACATGAAGCGTTTCTACAATTACACTAAAAGAGCTTTGACTGGATACAAAACTCTAAACTCTCAATCAGACAACAGAAGACATGGAGGAGATTGTGTGAAACAGGTTAAACAGTAGAGTTTGATTATGTTGATCATTTAGAGACCTTAATTTGCATGATACAGTAGACTTTATAGGGTTAAATGAATCTGATCTACTGATAGTCTCTCTCATGTGTGTGTCAGATGGTGTTGTGCTGATCGACCCCGAGCAGGTGAAAGGAAAGAAAGGTGAGACTCGTTCACAGACAGATGGCAGTGCGGAGCTGCTTTCACACCTGTGTCGATGAGTTAAAGTCTGTGTGTTCGTCTCCTCTAGTCTATGTCATGCTGTCCTGTATGTTCCGGTACGGTCGGGATGATATGGACGTGTTGGGGATGGCGTTTCGCAGGGATATCTTCCTGTGCTCTCGACAGGTCTATCCTCCTCTGCAGGACAAGGAACGCAGCATTCACACAAAAGTACAGGACAAGATCCTGCGCAAACTCGGAGACAACGCATACCCCTTCTTCTTTGAGGTGAGAGTCATTCAGGGTCGTTTTTATTCATGAAAACAGCACAATAATTGTGCTGACTAGTTATTTGCCAACGAAATAGAAAATAGTTATTTGAAATTGTAATAATGTTTCACAATATTACAGTTTTTCTTGGTCAAATAAATGATGAACATAGGAGATTTCTTTCAAAAACATTAAAAAAAAATCTTACTGACCCCAAAAGGTAGTGTATATCACCATACTTACCATATTATATATCACCATACATCATTAATATTACCCTGTGTAATATTACCCTGGCATTTAATTACCAAAAAAAGGGTCAACCTTGCTGCGATAGGATTTCTAATAGAGTTTCTGAGGGAGTGACTGTAAATCTGACGTCTTTCTTTACTGTAACTGCTGTAATCCATCTCTCCGCATTTTCTTCCTCTTCTGGAAAGTCGTGGGAACGCTTTTTCACTGTTCGAGGACATGGGAAAGCAAAAATGATATTAGATAATCTCTCGTGTACCTCTATAGAAGTTTACCCTACTATAGTTTACTTGGATTTGAAAAGGGTTCATTTGATTTGTCGCAATGCATTCTGGGATTTGAAGATTACGCACTACTTAAGATTCTGGTTGAAATGAGGTATATTATAATAATTCTGCATTATTCTGATTTCTCAGATAGGACTAGGAATATTTTGAAGCTTTTTTATGTTGTGAAGCGCATATCTGATGCCTTAAAGTGCACACTAGGTTCAAATGTATCATTTAGGGAGTCTCAGCTTTATGATGTCACTATCAGAATGTTACATATGTATCATTTGTGTTCTGATTCTGATGTCACAGGGACACTGTGCCGTCTGGTACGAGTCTGAAGAAGGTTTACACCCTCTGTCCTCTACTGGACAATAACCGTGAGAGACTGGGACTCGCTCTGGATGGAAAACTAAAGCATGAGGACACTAACCTGGCCTCCTCCAGCATGTGAGTGCGGATCATTCAGCACTGTCACAAATGATTTATCAAAGTTGTAAATAAGAATGAATGGAGTATGTTTACAAGATAAAAACTATTTACTATTTTTAGATTTCTGCTTCAAAATTTCACATTTCATTCAGTTACTTCTTGTTTCTTTGTAATTGGAACAATTTTGACTCAGAAGTTGCAACAAAGTAAATCCTACAAATTTTTTCAGTGTTCATGGATAATTTGATAAAACCATAAATGTTTTTGTCTTAAAGAAATAGTTTAAGATTAAGATGAGTTTGTTTCTTCATCAGGTTTGGAGAAATGTAGCATTGCATCAGTGTCTCAGCAATGGATGCTCTGCAGTGAATGGGTGCCGTCAGAATGAGAGTCCAAACAGCTGATAAAAACATCACAGTAATCCACAGTTAACATCTGGAGAAGACAAAAGCTAAAAAGTCCATCTCCTGTTGTCTCTCACACCAAAATCCTCCCACATATTTGTTTAGAGCCGTTTAAACAGTGCTTGATCTGTGCAGATTTCTCTCCTGATTCAGACCAGACCACATTTTCACTGGAGGAAGCGTTATTATGGATTATGGACTCGTATTTTAGTTAAAAACGTCTTAATGCTGGATTTGTTTCAGCTTTTGTCTTCTCCAGATGTTAATTGATGGACTGGAGTGCTGTGGATTACTTGTGGATTATTGTGATGTTTTTATCAGCTGTTTGGACTCTCATTCTGACGGCACCCATTCACTGCAGAGCATCCATTGCTGAGACACTGATGCAGTGCTACATATCTACAAATCTGATGAAGGAACAAACTCATCTACATCTTTGACGGCCTGAGGGTGAGGACATTTTTAGCAAATGTTCATTTTTGGCTGAACTGTTCTATAATATTCTCTGCAGTGTAAAGGATGAAGTTCTGAAGGAGATTCTGGGCATGTTGGTGGCCTATAGGGTGGTGGTGAAAAGTAATGCAGCCGGGTGAGTGAACATGAGCTGTTTTGAGTTTAGGTTCATACATTTGCGAACCAAGCTAATATCTGTTGGTTGAGGAAAGGCTTTGCTGAGTGTTCAGAAGCTAACGGCTTCATTTCCGCTATCTTACAGCATCGTTGGATCCAGGTGAGTCTTGAATCCAGTAAAGTTGTCTTGACTTTGTGAGTATGTACGTTTGTAAGATGTAATTGTGTGTGTTTCAGTGAAGTTGCCGTGGAGGTTCCCTTCAAACTCATGCATCCCAAACCTTATCCTGGTGAGCTGATCACATTGCCAAACATGATTTTACAGCTATTCATTTTCATCACAGAACATGAGTTCAAATCATACCTCAGTTTCTAAAATAATTTAAATTAAATGCACACACAGTAATACTACAGTACATGGAGCAAATCTCACTCACATACATTATGTGATCAGCAATGAATAACCAGACGTTCATCCACCTAAACTCATATTAACATACACAGGAAAAAAATGTAAGTGCTCATATTAACTTCCAATATATGTGGCAGTGTTATTTAGTATCATTATTAGTATTTTTTATTTGTTTTTATTTTTATATTTGCTGTTTTCATTTTAATTTGACATTTTTTGCAATTTTTTTAATTTTTGTTTATAAATATGTCTATGTAGATTTTGTAAATTTTTATTTCAGTTTTAGTTATTTTAGTGCATCAAGTTAAAACTTAATGAAAATGTGAAAAGCTGCCTTTGCAACTAGCTGAAATAAAATTAATTTAAGTTTTTTATATATATATTTTTATTGTATTTCAGTTAAGGTTTATTTTATTTCAAGTAAGAAAATGTTTTTTTTTTTTATGGTTTTATTTTAGTTAATGATAATAACCCTGATAAGTGCATTACTGTGAGCATGATTTTAGTTTTTACAAACTAATGAGTCAAATTATCTTCTGATGTCATGTTATTGTGAATTTGAATGGGATTTAAAAGACAGTTAATATTAAATAATATTATCCATTTATATGCACTGACGCTATCGGATGAGAACAAAAATTGAACTGAATTGAAGCTGCTTTAAAACTGAAATGTCATTTGTTTCATAAATGATGAATTTTACAACATTAACGCTGTCATTTTCCTGCTTTGAAGCAATCAGTATTGTATAAAGCACTACAGAAATAAATGCGACTCGACTTGATCTGATAATCACTGAATGTTATCTACTTTCTTTTTTCTCCCTGTTCTCCTCGTCCTAAAGAGAGGTGAGAAACAGTTATAATTTTCCACTGTGATTGTCCATTATCTGGGTGTATATTCTGTGGGGTTCATGTGATCTTATGCTATATCTGTAATATAATACCCTCCATATAGAGTCCTTGTGTCTCTGATTCCACGTGTTGTGTGGTGTTCACTTCCCTGTGTTTAATCTGCAACATCGTGCACACTCTTGAGATGATAAACGATCCGCGCTGGCTCTGGGAAGGGAAAGTTGTTCGGCGATATCGGTGTCCCATCTAAATGCAATCGGTCTCTTGTGTGGAGCCCCAGTTTAGCGTCGTTCTTTCAGTAAATCTGTTGTTAGTGTTCAATAGAAACTGTACTCTGACATCAGAACAGGGGTGTGTGTCGTTGACATAGAACACCTTTGTCTCTGTTTTCTGATTTACTGTTCCTCTTCATCTTCACATCTGCGAGTCTATCGGCGTTGATTGAGTTTCTTGTCTCTTTGTGTGTTTAGTGAAGACACAACTGACCTGGTGTTCGAGGAGTTTAAACGCTCCTATCTGAAAGGAGTCATCGGCGACGATGACGAATCTCCGGCTGAGCCTTGAGAGCCTTCTCCATGGAAAGTGCTCACAGATGACACGTATAAGTGTTTTGTGTAGGCAGACTTGTGCGTTTAAAGATTCATAAGCATTTATGGATGCATCTTAAAGGGTTAGTTCACCCAAAAATGAAAATTAGCCCATCCTAGGTGTATATGACTTTCTTCTTTCAGACGAATCCAGTCGGAGTTATATAAAAAATTGTCTTTGATCTTTCAAGAAGTTTCATGGCACTCAGCGGGTGTTGCACTTAATTTTTTATTAAATTTTATTTAACTGCTTTTGGACCGATGCATGCAACACCCGCTGGGTGCCATGAAACTTCTTGAAAGATCAAAGACAATATTTTATATAACTCCGACTGGATTCGTCTGAAAGAAGAAAGTCATATACACCTAGGATGACTTGAGGGTGAGTAATTTATGGGCTAATTTTCATTTTTGGGTGAACTAACCCTTTAAGGTTTGGTAGATGTGATGTGCCCTAATGCAAGATTATTTTTTAATCCTGGTGAGAAAAAAACAATTGGCCAAATTACCATTTATCCTGCAGTCTCGATATATTCCTTGCAAATAATTATGGATATTGTAGTTAAATTAATCGTGGCCGCTAAATATTTGCATTTTAACATGTAAGAACCAAAAAAAGTCCCCCTAAAACTTCTGATAACATTATTCCAATTTAGATTAAAAGACTTCTTAGAATACTGAAATTATAACTCTAGAGCTTTCAGTAAGGATAAACTGATATATAGTACATTTTATTTGTCACAAATGGATGTATTGCACAGTAAATTAGTTGCAGTGTACATTTTTAAAGATGCAAATTCTGTTGTTCTGTTGTTATTTGCTCTTTAAATGCTTTGAGCTTTAATTAAACTATTTGTGACCGCAAAACAGCTGTGTTTACATGATCTCTGTACCAAAGGACTGGTCATTTTCAATCATTTTCAATCATCAAAGACCTGTAGCATATAACGTGGTAAAGTCTTGTAAAATTAGTTTATTTAACCAAAGACTCTCATGGCCTGATGGAACACGACCCTACATTTAACATATGGCAGCAGAGATAAACTCAAACCTGTTTACCTTTAATGATCTGTGTTTCAGTTGAGCAGCATTTCTTGTTGCATTAACAGTAATAAATCTATTTCAATGCTTATTTGAGTGCAACAAGTTTTTGTCAGTTGCCAAGTATTTTTCATATTTTATTTTATTCAAAATTATATTATTCAAATAATTTACAGTATTCAAAATTAGTCACTTAAAAGATGTTAAGTTAGAATGCTGCCTAAGTAGACACTAGAAGCAAGCCAGCTCACTAGGTTTTGGAACAGAGCTGTTGTATTTTAAAATTGCCGAATTAAATATTCAATTAATGTTCAAACATTGGTCATTTACAAGGTTTTTTTTTTCAGGTAGTGCCTTGTGGATCTTGGTCTGATCAGAATTAGTCAGATGGAACTAGTTTGACTAGTCTTAATTGGAAAAACAACCAAAAACAAGGAGTCGGATTAGTAGTTTACAGTTTATTGGAAATATAAGGGTAATCAATACACAGAACATGAGCATGAACATGTTGTGTTATGTCATAATGTTGCAGGGTCATTGCTAAAATTCACAGCGACCAGAACAACATTTTTATGGGTGGGCCCCCTCTTCCCTGGACCCATATAGGCAACACCATAAGAGGCTTCCCAACATAATATTGTGTGTCTGAATAATCCATACTCAAAAGCCCAAAGTAAAGAGACTCTCTTTCTCTCTCTCAAACAGGTGTTTAACACTTCAATTGTGTAAGACAACACCTCTCTTTATTGTACCTCTCAAATACTTCTCTCCACTCACCTATCTTGAGACACACATACATGCACCAGCCCACCCAGTTTTCCTGTTCTCATTTTCACTTTTATTCACAGTGTGTGTCCACTGAATAGCTGGAAGGATGATATAACAGCTGATTGGTGCGTTCCTGCTCAGTTTTCATTCTTTACAAACATCCGGCTGAAAACATATCTGTCAAGGGAGCAACCTCCCAACTGATCCACCTCACTGTGTATTGATGGGGGCATAATACAGCTAATCAAGTTACGAGACATGCACTGTGAATAAACACCGCACATATCCACCTGGAGAACTAAGTAATTCCAAACATGTGAACTAGAAGGCCCTGCTTTCAGCCAAAGGTTTGCTTCTACATTCAAACTACACAAAGTGGACTTAAAATAGAATCTACATGTGGAATATTATAGAAAAACTAGGGCTTCAGGTTTTGGGGTTGAGGTTGAGAAGTGGATCATTTTAGAGGTTTGGTTAAGAGTTTAGGGTGTGGGTCTAGAATGTAGGGTGTAGTTAAAAGTTTAGAATGTTGGGTGTAGGTTAACATTAAGGTGCAGGTCCAGGGAGTTGATAAAAGATTAGGTTTAGAATGATGGGTGTAGGTCTAAGGCGTAGATAAAAGTTTGGGTGAAGGTTTAGAATAATAAATCTATTTTAATGCTTATTTGAGTGTTGTGTTGTCTTGGGTGTAGGTTAACATTAAGGTGCAGGTCCAGGGAGTTGATAAAAGATTAGGTTTAGAATGATGGGTGTAGGTCTAGGGTGCAGTTAAAAGTTTGGGCGAAGGTTTAGAATGCTAAGTGTAGGTTAACATTAAGGTGCAGGTCCAGGGAGTTGATAAAAGATTAGGTTTAGAATGATGGGTGTAGGTCTAGGGTGCAGTTAAAAGTTTGGGCGAAGGTTTAGAATGCTAAGTGTAGGTTAACATTAAGGTGCAGGTCCAGGGAGTTGATAAAAGATTAGGTTTAGAATGATGGGTGTAGGTCTAGGGTGCAGTTAAAAGTTTGGGTGAAGATTCAGAATTCTGGGTGTAGGTCTAGGGAATAGGGAAAGTTTAGGTATAGAAGGTTGGGTGCAGGTTAAGAGTTTGGCTTACAATTGTAGAATTCAGGATATAGACTAAGAGTTTAGGGTCTAAGGCCAGGGGTCTCCAACCCTGCTCTTGGAGAGCTACCTTCCTGCAGTCGTTAGTTCCAACCCTGCTTCAACAGACCTGCCTGTTACTTTCACGTAATCCTGAGCACCTTGATTAGCTGTTGTGTTTGATTAGGGTTGGAGCTAAAATCTGCGGGATGGTAACCCTCCAGGAGCGTGATTGGCATCTGGACTGTAGGTGGTGGTTTAGAATGTAGGGTTTGGTTAAAAGTTTAAGGTGTAGTGTAAGAGGGTAAGGTATACATGTGGGTCTCTATGGACCTCCAAAGGGAATGTCTTGATCAGGGAACGACTTTTCAGTGTAATCTCTTCCAAACATGTCATCACATCTGTCTGGGTACAACAAAAACCCGCTGAATGTGCTGCTGGCCTCGGAGCCAGTGTACATGCCGTTAGTGGTGATGTCTTTCACCTGTACCCACACCCAGTCACCCTGGCTCAGACTCAGCACCACCTGCTGAGAGGCGGTGTTCATTTCCACTGGCGTAGTTGTCCTCACCACGGCCTCGAAGTTGTGGAAGAGTCCGACCTTTAGCATACGGGTGGACACTTGCAGATGGTAGCTAAACACGTAGGTTCCGTTAACCGGGGCAGTGTAGACGCCATTATCAGGGTTGTAGTGCAGGTTTAAGTTGTAGATGACACGTTTGAAAGGCACTGGGCGGCTTGGTTGAGGAAAGGAGGTGAGTAAAGCGGCGGAGAAAGTAGATTGCACAGTGGGTGAGCAAGGTCCGGGCATACCAGTCATTCCCATATCTCCCTGATCACCCTTAGGTCCTGTGGCTCCAGTTGTACCCTGCTCCCCTGTCGGACCCAAGTTTCCCTTCTCACCCTTTTGACCTGTTTGACCCTGGGCTCCTTGAGCCCCATCCTTACAATTGCACAGGCCCTGTGGACCTTGGTCACCCTTCCCCCCTGGTACACCTGGAAGGCCACGCTCCCCCACCACACCCGGATCACCCTTCATCCCTTTGGGACCAAGGTCTCCATTCAATCCAGGTAACCCCCGTGCACCTGCAGGGCCAGGAAGACCCGGTTCACCTGCCTGCCCAGGTATGGGCTCACAGGTTTCTGGGCACTGACCATCATCTCCCTTTGGACCCTGTTCTCCCGTAGGACCTTCCAGACCAAGTTCACCCTTCTCACCTGAGAAGCACATATACAAAAATGGTCACCAAGGCCCATAATAGGCATTGTGTGTATGTAAATGGTAATACATTAGCGAAGATTCACTGACCTTTGAATCCCCTGCCTCCCTTTGGCCCTGAAACTCCAGGGTAACCAAGGTCACCCTTATCTCCTGCGTCACCTTTCTCACCTGTGGGTGTGTGAATTACATTACTACCACAGTTAACTCAATCGATTTAAACACCAGTTTTAGAGAATAACATGCTGACCATGGTCTCTATGATCTAGTTAAAGGGATAGTTAATCCAAAAAATGAAAATTCTGTCATCACCCTCAAGTTGTTCCAAACCTGTATGGGATTATATATTTTGAAGAATGTTGGTAGCCAAAAAGATTCTGGCAGCCATTGACTTCCATAGTGTTTTTTTCCAGTACTATTGAAGTCAGTGGCTACCAGCAACTGTTTGGTTACCAACATTCTTCAAAATATCTTTTCTTGTGTTTAACAGAAGAAAGAAACTTGAGAGTGAGTAAATGATGACAGAATTTTCATTTTCGGGTGAACTGTCCCTTTAAGCTTACAATGCTTTTGGGAAATACATCCAAAGCAAGTAGTTTCTCCACTATAAGCAGGAAACTTCACATAAGGAGCTTGTACCATGGGAAGCTACACTTTCAAACTAGCTTTCCCAACACTGATTCACACACATTCATAGTGAAGTAAAATGCATAGTACGAGACTTGTTGTTGAGTCTCACCCTTTATGCCAGGACGTCCTGTGAATCCTGGACGGCCGGGAAGCCCAGAGAGACCTCTTGGACCTGGACTACCAGGAACTCCTGTGTGTAGCAGATGCAGTTATTAAAACGCTTGACAATAATAAACAAACAGAGTATGAGTGAGAAAATGCTGTGTGTGGAGTTTGTACCTGACAGTCCGCGGTCGCCTCTGTCTCCTTTCTGGCCTCTGTTTCCAGAGCAAGCGGAGCAGATGCAGAACCAGGGAACCTGGTCTGCTGTGGGTGGAACTGGAGCTTCCAGAATCATCTGACAATAGGATAAATCAGGCTCCGAAAATCCCGTTTGTCCCTGCGTGTCATTGGGCAGTAACCCAAACTCTGTTGCACGGGAGCCAGGCAGTAAAGCACACTGGCCGAAAAACAAACACACCAACACCCCCACGATACTCCTCATGTCCTGTAGGCAGAATTATAGAGTTAAATCTAATTACAGAGTAGCTTTAAAATATTATGTCACTGTCTCACAGCAAGAAAATCAAGAATGTTTAATTTCAATGCGTTGCTTGATAGGTACAAGGATGTTCTGGGTGGTTGCTAGCTGCATTGTTTTTTTAAATAAAAGATTATCGGAGTACATTCAACAAGAGAATGCTTTTCAGACTTTCTACATCAAAATGTCATGTTTCTTAATATGTGACCCTGGACCACAAAACCAGTCATAAGGGTCAATTTTTCGAAATTGAGATTTATACATCATCTGGAATCTGAATAAATAATCTTTCCATTGATGTATGGTTGGTTATGATAGGACAATATTTGGCCGAGATACAATTATTTGAAAATCTGGAATCTGAGGGTGCAAAAAAAATCAAAATATTGAGAAAATCGCCTTTAAAGTTGTCCAAATGAAGTTCTTAGCAATGCATATTACTAATCAAAAATTAAGTTTTGATATATTTACGGTAGAAAATTTACAAAATATCTTCATGGAACATGATCTTTACTTAATATCCTAATGCTTTTTGGCATAAAGGAAAAATCTATAATTTTGACCCATACAATGTATTGTTGGCTGTTACTACAAATATACCACAGCGACTTAAGACTGCTTTTGTGCTCCAGGCTCACAAATATTTGTGAAATTTAGCAACTAGCAATTTCCAATAAAGCATAATATAGGAAATTTAATAATATGCAAATACTAAGCTACAACACTAAATATTTAACACTATTTAGCATTGTTTTTGTTTTTATTCTGTATGTCATTTTCGTCAATTAACGGCAGTTAGATAAGCCGGACGGACAGATTGATCACCCACCATGTTCCAGCGATACAGCATCTTGCTCTTCCTTAGTCCAGGTCAAGTGTGTGAAAAAATCTCTGATGTCCTGACGACCTACACTTATATACCTGTACCTGCGTGAGTGTGTTTGTGTGTATTTGACCGCTGGGAGTTGGACTTTTTTTCTCTCTGCATTCTCTGCGACCTCATTAGGCCCAGAATATCATGAGTAATAATACAGTAGAGAGAAAACTGCCTTTGTGTGAGTGACACAGCAGTGTGAGAGCAGGCGCGGCTCCGTCAGGACTGTAACAGGAGAGAGCGGATGCGTCTCTGGAGATGATTTATAATACAGGGAAGCATGGGAACACGGCAGGCCTCCGACCCGATCCAGGTCAGATCTCTCACTCACACAAACACAGAGGATTCTCTTTCTGTAAGAACCAGTCAACAGAATATATGTAACAAGTAATACCTAGAATATCTTATCACAGATCTGTGAAGAGTATCCCATAATGCAGCAGTACATTTGTTGTCTTAATCTTTTATTTTGACAGCTGTAGCGCCACACTGAATTTATTGAAGAGTGATAGCTGTGCTATTTATTTCATACAGGGTAGCACTTTAAAATAAGGTCTCATTAGTTAATGCATTAACTAACATGAACTAACAATGGACAATATATTTTTACAGAATTTATTAATCTTTGTTAATGTTAGGTAATAAAAATGTTACTGTTCATGTTAGTTCACACAACATTAACTAATGTTAACAGATACAACTTTAAGTTTTAATCATGTATTAGGAAGTTTTGAACTTAGCATTTATTAATCTTAGTTAATATTATGTAAATATTGTTCGGGTTAACTACTATAGTTAATATTAGCAATTGAAACCTTATTGTAAAGTGTTGCCTCATACAATTCTGACTGTCATTTCCTCCCAGATTATTATGCAGAAACTATAAGTTTGCATATTTTGCATACTTATCAACTATAAGTCGTTTGTTGACACAATGTGGCTTTCAAAATATTCACTGTTTGTTTGAGCATCTCGACCAAGAACAAACAAGAAAATGGTGTTTACAGTAATGTGTAGCTTGTGTTCTTGTTATAATAATAATAATTATTATTATTACAATTATTAAAATTATTAAAATTTATTATTAATTTATTTGTTTATTTTTAAATACAAAGTCACTTTCAGGACTTCAAGGCCGCTCTACAAAGAAACAGCAAAATATTTTGTTATTTGACAATTTTGTTGATTAGGTGGTTATGTCATACGTGTGTGTGTGTGTGTGTGTGTGTTTTACAGAATAGCTTTTAAAAGGCCAAAAAATAACTGTCTCACCCCCTGTTATCCATATGTGCATCATGTGAACATTATGAAAAGTTGGTTTTTCCCAGTGCAATCTTGACTTCCATTGTAAAGGCTTTAATGCAAGGGCGTCTGTATTCCTTTATTCCTTTAGATTGTGTTCACAAACTGGGTACAACTTTTTTATTGTGGGTCAAATTGACCCTCATTGGTTTCCATGCATTTTGCCAAAAAATGACACTATGAAAAATACTAAAGATTCATGTAAAAACAGAAAACCTCTATTGTAGCTTGTCACAAAATACAAGAGGAATTTAATAATTTATTAATAATTTTTATTGTGTTATTTCTATTGTGTTAGGAGCCAATTCGACCCAGATATTTTTGTTCAAAATTAGCTGCACAGACACAGAATTAAAGAATGAGTAGTCATGACCACTTGTAATGACTTTTTACACACTGAGGTGCAAGAAAGTATCTTTGTATTAGTGTAAGCAGTATTTATTGCTATTTGCACTTCCTCTGCCTTTTTATGTCTCTTTCTCAAATCCCTGTGAGGCTAAAGGTTTCTCACACTTCTTTTCAGTAACTGTGATCCAAACTAACAACCGACAGATGTTTTTGACTGTGAAACTCAACTAAGTAAAAAACAAGGATTTAAGATAAAGATGAATGAATTTCGAGTAAGCTTTGAGTCTTTAATCACATAAGTCATGTTTTCCATATTTTAGGGTTTGACAAGTTACAGTAAAGGTTTTCTGTTTTTTTTTTTTTTTGCCCGACACTTGTGCTGATTTTTGGCAAAATGCATTGAAAACAATAGGGGTACAAAATTTGTATAGCCTTTTCAAAACACATCTATGCGTCGAAACTTTGCATGCACATTCATGACCCTAAATAAGAAATATCCACCAAATTTCAAGAAGAAATAAATAGTTTAAGCAGTTTGAAAATCGAGTTATTGGTCAAATTGACCCCAACACAACAGGGGTCAAATACTCTTTAAACTCACGTATTAAATATCTATACCAAAAGATGTATTTGTGTACATTTATACATTTTGCGGAAGTTTTTATCGAAAGCAACTTACAAATATAATATCTGCAGAACGCAATGCTTGGTTTAAAGTATAAAGTTGATCAGTATAGCAGCAGAAACAGAAGTGAAATGCAGAAAAGAGAGAACAAGTGCATTTGTTTATGGTTGTGGATGAGTTCAGTGCTTGCAAAAGAGGTGTGTCTTCAGATCTTCCTTGATGACATTAGAACAATGGAAATCAATGGGAATTCCCCAATTAATTAGCTTGGGAAATATGCATCCTTTGTGCCTGATCTGAATCCGATTCACATGCTGTTTTTGAAGTTGTTGCATAATTGAAACTGAACTGAATTGAGCTGAATAATGACACTATTGTCTTCTGAAATTGAATTTTTCATAATTGACAAATTTGTAACATTAACACTATAACTGAACTGAGATGAATCAACATTGAACTGAATAATGACACTGAAAAAAAATGGTGGTGTTGAAACAATTCCTAGTAACATTTACAAATAATTACAAAGAAATGGCAAGTAATAGTGAATGAATGAAGACTGAAATGGTATTTTCCTTGTAAAAAGTGCTCTGATAATCTTTGTTTTTATTTACCACTTTTTTTTTTTACAGTGTATACTGCTTCACAGCATCATACAGCATTTAATAGTCATTTAATAATTGATTCATTTAGCAACATTACCACTGTAATTTTCCTGTTTATTACTGTGAAGCTGCACTGAAACAATCTGCATTGTATAAAGTGCTTTATAAATAAATGTGACTTGACTTGACTCTAATTTCCAGACAATAGTGGACATAAAAAGGTGTTTATGTAACAAATAACACACATAACGCGTGGTAAAACACACACATACACATTATGCATGATCAGATCCCATCATGTAAAAGAGTGGATTACTGTAAAAGGTGTGTGTTTGTGCATATTTGTGAAAGAGAATTATTGAGTGTGTTACTGAAGGAGACACAGTGTTGTTTGGAAAGAATGTGTTATTATGTCAAGGGGATGCATCTTAATGAGAGCTAGTGTGCGTTACTGAGGAAGTATGCATTGGCAAGATGTGAAACACAGATGTGAAACTGGACACACAAACACAAACAAAGCCATGGCCGCTTCTTCACAGCACCGCCCAGCTCCTGACCCTGTTTCTGCTGTCCTGCGCTTCTTTACACGGTCGCTCTGTGTTTGTTGTCTTTATGAGGAATTCGTATGTGCTGCGTAACCCCCCCAAAACCCATCAGGATCAAGTCTACAGTTACACACTCAGCAATCATTGCTGTATTGATTACATTAGGGTGTATATTTACAGGAAACACGCACTCTCGGTATTAAATTCTAGACTGTTCCATAACCTCAGGTTCAACATTTTGCTTCAGGCTGTTGTGATTGTTATTGTGCTTTTAACGTCCACAGCTTTTTCTCGAAACATCCATCAATCTCCTGAAGAAACAGCTGAAGCTGACTCTATGGATGTATGACGTCAAGTAAAATTGTGCATGATTTTAAAAATGATGATATCCAAAACAATACATAAAGTGATATAAAAAAAAAGACGAGGCACACTTCCTTGTAAAGTTCACGTCCTGAAAAGATGTCGGATTTTTTAATCCATTATTCGACAGGGTTGTTCTTAAATGTAGCACTGATTCCAATGGATCCTCTGCAGTGAATGGGTGCCGTCAGATGCTTGATCTCTGCATATTTCTCTCCTGATTCAGACAAGAAGACTTTTTCACAGGCGTGATTTGCTTCATTTTTGCTTTTAATCAGCTGTGTTTTGTGATTTTTAGTTAGTGTATGAAGGCAGTTGAACTATGTTCCATAAATGTTTCATAAACACAAAGTGGCTTTTATTTCAAACACTTTATCTATTGTTTTAACATGTAAAATGGTACAAACTTCTTTTTAATTGAAGGTATGCTTATGGTATCTTACTTAGCTTTTTGTAATGTAATGCAATCCCAGTTTACAAATATAAGTTGTAATGTTCACATTCATTTATGAAAACATTATTTCTGAATGTTCTCTAAACATTTAAAAAATGTCAAATTTTTTTAATGTTTTAAAAACTTTTTTTTTCTTGGTTGCATGAACGTTAAGGAAATATTCCATTTGATTGTTTTGTAAACATTATGGGAATGTTACTTTTGAATGTTCTCTGAACGTTCTGAAACAAGTAGTAACATTTTAAAACGTTAGATGAACAAAAAAAAAAACGTGCACGAATGACGTATGAATACAATTGATGTGCTAATGTTTTAAGAACGGATAACATTCCATTAACGTTAGAAGAACATTTGTTCATAACTTTCAGAATTAACTTCCCTGAACGTTATGAACGTTCCCTGTTTGCTGGATGACAAGGTTACTTTGGAAATGTAATAGGTTACAGATTACAAGTTACCCTATTTAAAATGTAATAAGTAGTGTAACGATTTCAGTTACTTTATTATAGTAATGTAACTGATTAATTTTGATTACGTTTTAAATTTCGAACGAATGTAGTGCTCAACACTGATTACTGTCAGACTTTCAAAATCTTCTTCACTTGAATTAAGATTATAATAATACAATTTTAAAGCACAGCCACCACAAATCAGACTTTAGCAGCTCTTTTTACTTTGAGGTCATTATGAGGTTAAATACAGATTTAAAATCATAAGTTTAATAGTTATGATACTGTTTTTGAAATCAAATCTTTGCATGACAGGAAACACTGGCATCTAACAAAATAAAATCAGTTAATTAAAAAAATAATATAAATAAAGCATACACAAACCCAAATAAAACGTTATCAAATAAGCATGTGTCATATTCTGTGTTGTCAACTCCTGAAACATTGGTGTCTCATATTTTAGAGCAGTCAATGCAATTTGGGAAAGAAATCAATCAAATCTGTATGTGTGTGAAAATATTCAGATGTAACCCCCTTTGTAATCGTTAACATTTTCATAAGTAGCTGTAATTTAATTACACACAACAGATTACAGTTAATTAAATTACGTAATTCCGTTACATGTAACTAGTTACTCCCCAACGCTGCCTGTGCGTCCAAATCAGTGTTAATTTCGTTGACGAATAATTTTCGTCATAATTGTCGTCAATGACATTTTTTTCACAGATGACAACGAGACGATAACGAACTAAAACTCTTTTTGAATGACAAAAACTATGACGTAAATCTATTGACATTTTCATCAACTAATAAAAACGAGACGAAAATGTTAGGGAGGGACGATTTGGGATGAGATTCATTCAGAACGAATTTGCTGCGTGGCGAGAAATGCTTAATAAATGCATTAGGTTACACTGTAACTAAACCCATTAGATTTTAGCCGACTAAATTTACTGTAGATTTAATCGACTAAAATCTTATGATATTTAGTCGACTAAAACTAGACTAAAACTAAAAATAATTCAGATGACTAAAATATGACTAAAACTAAATGGCATTTTAGTCAAAGGACTATGACTAAAACTAAATCAAAATTTGCTGTCAAAATTAACACTGGTCCAAATGTGTCGGGGGTCACTCGTTTAGTACAGCGTCTCAGCTGTAGCTCCTCTGTCCGGTAGGCGGCGCACTCTCCCGCTCTCCGGGCTGCAGTGCTCGGTCTGTCCGTGCGGCGGCGCTGTGAGGCCGGTCCCGCTGGAACACGTCCGTGAGTGTGAGTCCCGGGGGCTGGAGCGTAGGATGGCGGCGGTCGGTGCTGCTGCCGCTGCCGAGGCCGAATCGTCGGACAGTGAGCCGGAGCAGGAGCACGGCTCCCCGCAGAAGCTCATTCGGAAGGTCTCCACGTCCGGTCAGATCCGGAGCAAGGTAATATAGCACGTGCGTGTGTGTTTAGCGTCGGTTTTCCAAAGAGAAAAGCGCTTCAGACCGAGCCGCCGGCCCGTCCGAGATCCGCGACGTTTCCTGCGTGTCCAGACCCTCCGGTTCCGACCGACACCGACACCGGTCGCTGATACGAGCGCGGGTGAATGTAACAGAACCGCGCGGCTCTGTGATGATGAGCGCGCGCGGTCGGCTGTAGCGCTACATTGTAACCGTTTGTTCGGAATCTGTGCTTTTGAAAATGAAACACTGTAACATTTGCAGCGCAGCGGTTACATTCAAACACAAATTCCCTTACAAAAAATGACCATACTTTGTTTCTGCCGCAGTACAACAGTTGCTGCTGCAGTTATTTTACTATAGTAAAAATATAGACATAAATAATACTAAAAAGGAGGAAACAATAGAAAATTTATTGAGGCGGTTTTTAAGGAAATTACGTATTAATTTATTATAAAGCATATTATTATCAGTAACAAAATATGTGCAAATATATCTTAATTTTGGTGGAAACTGGCTACCGTAGTTCATTTTGAAAGGCACTATTTCTTTCTGTCGGCCGGTTCATTTTACAAGCTCAAACCTAACAGAAAATCCCTCTTTTAATCATAGTTTATGCCCATATGTCATAGTTATCATTTATTATTATTACTGTAAAGCTGTGGTAACTTGTATCAACCTCCACTGTCATCAAAAGTAGCCTATATGTAAAGTAAAATGAGGTCGGGCAATGAGGCAAATTTAATGTCATGTGTGCATTTTAGTAATAATAACTACAGTAACTCTGGCTTTTTGTAAAGGTTTGAGCTTCAGGATCTGAGCTGGCAAACCAAAGGTTGAATTATGAGTTATCACTGTTCACTTATTAAAAATCAGTGTTTGCGATCAGAATCATATTAACAGTGTTGACATTTTGAGCTTGTTCCGTTACTGACAAACAGCGAAGCGTAAGATAAAGTGATAGAGAACTTGTTCTTGCAGAATTCACTTCCTGAAAGCTTGAGCTTGCCATTTTGACAGAATTCTTTGATTTAGTGCATTCTTCTTGTATGTTGGATCTGGTTTCGTGAATGCATATCCCGATTGCCCTATTCGAAAGACTCAAAAATAAAAAAAATGTATAGCCATCTATAAATATCAGCTGCTTTCTGTGTGAATGAGGTCTAGATTTATGGTTAAGATACAGCATTTCTGTAAATATCATTAGCTTGCTATGAAAAGCATTGTGTATCTGAGAGAGCCTCAAAAGCCTGTTTGTATCCGGTCTGTGAGATGATGCTCTGTTGCTCAGGACTGACCGGAGATGATCTGCGTTTGCATCATTCATATGCTCTTATGGTGTCTGTGATTTATCGTTTAATATCTTTCACCTAGAAAACTAACCGAGTATATGATGCTGAAGGGCAATTCACAGCCAGAGTCAGAGGAAAGTGCTTCTGTGTGATTAAGGCTAAAGCCTTGTTTTTTTCATGAACTGGTTTAGTTTTGGAGATTTCTATAACATTCTTCTTTAAGACTAGTGGAAACGAAACATACTAAATACACATTTAAGTGTATTTTATTACATTTGATCTATTTGCGGCTGTTATAATGCATATCTTTTAAGGCCGTTTTGTCAAAAAGAGTTTCCTCCTCCACTTCAGCAGCACTTATAGAATTTATTTCTCTATATTCTGAAGGTATTTATACTGAGGGGTTTGTTCATATATGATTCATCTTGATTTATATAACATTTTATTCCTAAAGCATAGTATAAATGTATTTGTTTTCTGGCTGTTGACAGTATTTCCTGATTTATTCAGTGATAAAAAGAGAAATCCAAAATCCCTTCTGTAAACACCTTTAACTCTAATGTGTCAACAACATTAGACAATAATTATGAACCTGGCTTCAGATTTCTGTTCTGGACCATTCAATTGATTGCGTATTTAACAGCAAAAGTTATTTTATACGCATAGAAAGCATATTAAATGCAAGCAAAGTATGTGCTTTAATGTTTTAAATAACTTTTGCAAATTATATGAGTGGAAAAATGTTCCATTATCATTGTTCCATTTTCTTTTCACATATATTTATGTAAAAATGAAACAACATATTTTTTTCTGACCTGTACTTATTAAAATATATGTGACCCTGGAGCACAAAACCAGTCATAAGGGTAATTTTTTTTAAATTGAGATTTCTACATCATCTGAAAGCTGAATAAATAATATTTCCATTGATGTATGGTTTGTTAGGATAGGACAATATTTGGCCGAGATACAACTATTTGAAAATCTGGAATCTGAGGGTGCAAAAAAAAATCTAAATATTGAGAAAATCATCTTTAAAGTTGTCCAAATGAAGTTCTTAGCAATGCATATTACTAATCAAAAATTAAGTTAACACATTTACAGTAGGAAATGTACAAAATATCTTCATGGAACATGATCTTTACTTAATATCCGAATGATTTTTGGCATAAAAGAAAAATCAATAATTTTGTCCCATACAATGGCTATTGCTATAAATATACCCCAGCGACTTAAGACTGCTTTTGTGCTCCAGGGTCACAAATATAAAAGAATTTTTTTTTGATAAAACCTAGTGGTTTGAAGGATCGTGGTAAAGATTTAAAATAATAATTAAATAGTTTTTGGAGGCTGTAAACCTTAAATAGAGTCTTTTAATGTCATTCTTGATCTAAATACGCCTGACTTGATTTATTGTTGAACTATTGTTACACCGATTGACATTTTAGTGGGTGTCTTCAGTAAATCATGGAAAAAATTTATGATAGTCATTACTTTTGCTCAGAAAAAAATAAAATTAGACACAACACATTCTAATGCATGGATGAAAGTTTAAAAGCGGTATTGCACTTTTGTTCTTTTGATGCTTGAAAACCCCTTTACGTCTTTGACCCAAGTGTGTAGGGACAAGGCATGGACATGAGGGTAAATGATGACACGCTTTGTTATTTTTAGGTGCACTATTCCTTGAAGTCTACAGGAAGTGCGCATTAGTTAAGGTAGCACTAACGCGTGGGTGGCCAAAGGCTCCTCTGCAACAAGGCCGGCCTGTAAACGCCGCTGCGGCTCTGGGCTGGATTCTGAGAAGAGGAAGCCGTGTCTCGCCCCTGTACTGTCATCACGTCTGTGTGCTGCGCTGCGCTGTGGTGGGGGGAGAAAGGAGAAAGGTCATGGCCTCTTTGAGTCTGATCAGACAGAGGTGAGATGAAAGCGTTCGCTACAGTAACCGCAGGCATCTGTCCACTGAAAGGTCACGTTTGACCAGCAGGTGAATCTGTGATTTCAGAGCATTCGCTTGGTTTGCTGAAAAGCATCTTTATGAGAGTAAAAACACTATGAGTTTTCACAGCTGTGATTCAAGGAACGCTCAGCCCTTCATCAGACGGATTACTGTCGCACAGCTGCAAGCTGTAAATCTAGAGGACTGTTGGACACAGTATTACTGAGATTCTTGCTATAATCATCTATATTTACATTTGAATTACATTATTTAGGAAATGCTTTGGATAAATGACTTAGTAAACTCACCCTCTGGCCATCCAAGATTAGGATGAGTTTGTTTCTTCATCAGATTTGGAGAAATGTAGCATTGCATCAGTGTCTCAGCAATGGATGCTCTGCAGTGAATGGGTGCCGTCAGAATGAGAGTCCAAACAGCTGATAAAAACATCCACAAGTAATCCACAGCACTCCAGTCCATCAGTTAACATCTGGAGAAGACAAAAGCTGAAACAAATCCAGCATTAGCCAGTCGCTTCTGGCTAAAATATGAGATTTCGGTTCATCCAGTCCAACTAACTTGTTACCTGACAGGTTTTGACATCCCATGTTTTAACTTTTATAAAAAGCTCAAAAGTTATACAGGACAATCAGTGCAAACATTCACGTGTAAATATATTCTTTATATACTGTAAATAGTGGTTCTGTGTGGTGTACCGCACAGGCTTTGTTTCAGTTTATTAAAATCAGTATTATTTTAGCATCATATACTAGTTTTTGTTAATATTTTGAATACAATTTTAAATGTTCTGTTTTCATTTTTATTTTAATTGTGTTTTTCTTTTAAAATAAGTCTATATCGTTTTTATTGAATATTAGTTCTTAGTTTTAGTTTATTTAGTTTTAGTTATTTTAGTACTTCAACATAAACTAATGAATATGAGAATTTTTGCATTGGCACCTAGCTGAAAAAATAAGTTTACCTTTGTTTTTTTTATATTTGATTTTATTTCAGTTAATGTTTATTTTATTTCAAGTAATGAAAATGTTTTTTGGATTTAGTTAATGATATTAATAAGTTCATAATATTTTGAATGACATTTTATTTTTATATTTTCTGTTTTCATTTTAAATTTTAGTTAAAGTTTTAGTAATTTTGTTGTGTTTTTTATTTTTGTTTTAAAATAGTTTTTATTTGATTAGTTCTTAGTTGTAGTTTTAGTTATTTTAGTAGTTCAACATAAACTTAATTAAAATGAGAAATGTTGCCCTGGAAACTAGCTGACAAAAGTTTACTTTTATTATTTATTTTAATTTATTTTAATTCAGTGAATGTTTATTTCATTTCAAGTAATGTAAATGTTTTTGGTTTTAGCTTTGGATAATGATATTAATATATGAACAATATTTTGTATTGGATTTTATTTTTATATTTAATATTTCCATTTTAAATTTAGTTAAAGTTTTAGTAATTTTGTTGTGTTTTTGTTTTTTAAATATATCTATATTTTTTGATAGTTTTTATAATTTTGTTATAGGTTTTTTATTTTATTTTAGTACTTTTTTTAGATTTTGTTTTAATATTTTATTTCAGTTAATGTTTATTTTAATCAAATTTTTTTTAATTTGTTTTAGTTAATAACCCTGATTAAATCCTGAGTTCATTAAAAACGGCATCAAATGCTCATGTCATTCATGCTGCAGCGCACGCGGATGTAAAGATGTAAAGTTAGCGTGCGGTTAGGAAATGGCTCT